TATTTTCGAAAGTGATTCAAAAGATAAAACTGTGAAAAAACTTCGTGCATGGACTCGTGTAGAACTCTCTACATATCGTAGATTAGAAGGACAGTATCCAGGACGTTCTGAACGACTTGCTCATATTCGAAATGTCTTAATGGATAAAGCACATGTTTCATCAGCTGATTACATTTTTGTTGTTGACTTAGATAGAATTTCAACAACTGTTCCCTCTTTTCTTTCAAATTTTAAATATGATACAAATCAATGGTCAGTCATGACAGCAACATCACATAATAACTATTATGATATTTGGGCATTACGCACCTTATCGAACTCAATTATGAATTATGATATTTGGCGTCGAGTGTCAGAACTGGAACGATCTCCGAGCAACTATTGTCACCGGTCACTTCTTGATGGAATTTATGGAATTCATAAAAAGCGTATTCCGATTGAACATGACTTAATTGAAGTACGTTCAGCCTTTAATGGTGCTGGATTATATAAAGTAAATTCGACATATAACTGCAAATACGATGGTAATCGTATTTGTGAACATGTGCCATTTCATTTGTGCATACGAGAAAAAAATCAAGCAAGAATATTTATTAATCCCGAGTTTCGAGTTAGTTAAGTATAAGTAATTTGGAAACACAAGACTGTAAGTTTGAATGAAATTATAAATATAAATGTATTCGAAATATAGTGGTTAGTACTCTTAGATTTTATTTTATTATGATAAATAAATAGAAAAATAAATAAAGAAAAATGAAATCTAATAAATTTTAATTGATATTCATTGATAAATCTCAATTATAATCAGAGGTGTGGATGTGAACATTAGCGAGATTGCTAGTGTACAGATGAAAAAATCATTTACTCTGACAATTTTTTCTTCGCTTTTTTTCATATAATTTATTAGTTATTGGAAAAAAAGAAAATGATGAATTTCAATTTTTTTCAAGAAGATGAAAGTAAATCGATCATGTTTATTGATATGTTATTTGTTTAATTGATGATTGTTTTTATCCAAGCTTTGTAAGCTGATACACGAGTATAGACATTTGGTGAATTAGTAGATCCCTTTGTGTTGCAATCCTTGACATAGCTAGTGACACCAGATACCACATATTGCCCATTGTATTGAGCTAGAATAGGTCCACCACTGTCACCTTGACATGCTGAACTTCCATCGATAGAGTTAGCCACGCATATTTGTTTTGAACTATCTACGGATGGCCACCAAGAATCACATTTATCGACAATTTTTGTAGATGCTTGTTTAAGTATATCATTCACTGTTCCAGCAAACACTTGAGCACCCCATCCAGCGATAACCACTTGATCGTTTGGTTTTGGTTCTCCACCGGGTAAACATGCTGGTTGAACATATGTATTCAATATAAACGGTACACTTACACGCAATACGGCAATATCATTTATATTGGTTACTGTATCATATTTAGGATGAACATAAATCGATTGAACAGTACGAAATTGACGTGTAGCTGTCTCTGTAGTTGACACTCGATTATGCATTCCTGCAATCAACGTAATGTCTGTTGCATTTTTCGTACCAATACAATGAGCAGCTGTAATAATGTAATTTGCATTGATCAAAGTACCGCCACATATACCATAGCATACATTACTACCACATGGTTTCTTCTCTTGATAATAAATCATCTACATTTAAGATAAATAAAACTATAAAACAATTATATAGAATAAACTTTTAATACTAACCCAAGGCCATGAATTTGCAATAGCATTTTCTCCACCAAATATTCGACTCGATTTACTTGATCGTGGTGTAATTAGTTGTTTACCACAAGTGCTACTATCAAGTGGCGATGGGGTTGTTGTTGTAGTCGTCGTTCCAACAAATGAACCCATTGGACAACAGTATCGAACTTGAAAATCAACGCCACCAGGTGCAAACGAATAGAATGATAACAGATAGAGTGTAGTATCTGGCCATTTCCAGGACCATTGAACCGACCAACCACCCGTTCGATAGTTGACTGATTGAGCTTGAATAGCCAATGGAATGCGACATAATGTTTTGGGATTTTGTGTAAATATGATACTCATATCTTCGCTATCACCACTTGTATTATCTTTTGGTTTGCCTACATTAAACCACATTGTCCAACCACGATTAACAGAACAATTTTCTTCTGTGACATTAGAGGGATAGAACACATTGATGGCTCCCTGAACATTGTATAATAATAGACTAACAATAAAAACACGTGATATGAACATTTTAATCAGTAATTCACTGACTAGGCTTGCAGACAAATGAAAGACAACTGTTGTATTACCATTTTATATTATAGGTATGATACTTAGAGAAAGAAAACAAATTTTTGTCTCAAGAACTTGTCATTTACATTTTATTGACGTAAAAAATAACGCATATGTGCAATCTACATCGATGAATGGTTGTAAGTCATGACAAAATAATGAGTTTTTCATCTTATTTTATGACATGCTTAAGTAAACTGAGATGAATACTAGCGATTTATAATCATTGTGAATAAGCATTTATAACCGTTATATAAGTTCAACTGAATCAGTTTAGTAAATATTATGTACGGATGACTTTTCAAATGAATCACCAAAATATATATCATGCGAATGTGGGCGGATGAGAGTGACTATAGATTTCTTTATTGAGGATGTGGGTGTGAGTGAGTTTTATTGTGTATCATTCTATTAAGAACGAGCGATCCATTTCAACAATATATGTACATATTGTAAATATTGTAAATATTGTAAATATTGTAGATAGAAAAGCTACAAGAATTTTAAAACCGTACAGAAAGAAATGGTCATCACGCATTTTCTTTTTTTGATACTTCACCTTCTGTAGACTTTCAGTTTTTGGTAGCAAAGTTATGTTTCACAAAACATGTAATTCGTATTGAGGGCGTGGGTGTGGGTGGATATAGATGTGACTATCTGTGTGGATTTTGATATGGCTGTGGATGGGGATGTGGATATGA